AGGGGAAGAGGGGCTAGATATCGATGCTTGACTCGGCTGACATATGCAGCTACTCAGAGACCAAACAACTGGTTTCCAGCTGTGCACAGATATTGGCGCTGAGTTTGGTTTTAGGGCGCGTGTGTTAAGAGCTTCGACTACACTCAAAGAAAAAACCAAGAAACTTGGAGATTTGTGCGCAAAACTGTTGCTGAATTAAAGAACAAAGATATTATTTTAAGTGTATTTGATTAAAAGATAAATATTAAAACAAATATAAATAAAAGTATTTGGGACTTGAGTTCTATTCATTTCGCCGAAAATTCACGCTTTTTTCATGCATGTAATAAAAAAGGTAGCATTTAAATCGATTCGGTTTCAATGTTAGATCAATTTTAATACAAACAATTATTTAAAAAAGAAGAATAAAAGTGTTTAGCATTTGGTTTGTATTCATTTCTCTTCAAATTCACGCTTTTGTAAAGTATTTAAAAGCTTGTAGTAAGAAATGTTGCACTTAAATCAATTTGATTTCAAGCTTGAGTCAATTTTCATGAAAACAATTATTAAAAAAAGAAAATATTCTTTTAAGATTTAAGAAAATAAAAATAAAAGTGTTTAACACTTGAGTTCTTGCATTTCGCCCAAAATTCACGCTTTTTTTCAAGCATGTAAAAGCTTATAATAAGAAATGTAGCACTTAAATCATTTTCAATCTTTCATCAATTTTAATAAAAACAAGTATGAAAAAGAGCAAACATTCTTGAAATTTTAAGCAGCAAATGGCATGAGCTACCGCCAGACTTTGGGTTAGGTATTTCTCTCAGTGCAGCACGCTTAGGTGTGTGGGCAGCTATATTGAATGGTGCTCGTTCAAGGGCAGAGCTCTGGAGCGCTCAGCCTAGGGGCTGCATACTAAAAAGAGTTGCTCGCTGGCTGCAGCTCCGCTTTAAACAATGCAAACTCACCACACGGCGTATACGCAATATAGTGTGCAAATAAGGGAATGACAACTATATATAAAAATTTAGGTTCTTGCAAACATTTTAGGCAGCAATTAAACGAATGAAAGTGTAACTCTTGACTTTTCACAGTTTATGCCAGTTCTTTGTTTTGTTTCCTAAAGCTTCAATTAAAGCTTGGTTCGTCTAAGCGCTAGTTTACTGTATATGCAACTGAAACTCACCACACGCACGGCAAACGACGAAAAGCAATTGCGCGTCCTTGCACTGTCTCCCTGGTTCCTGTCGCCTGTCGCCTGTGCCTATCCCCATCCCTGTCCGCCGCTGTGTGGCCAGAGTGTTGCACTACGTTGTACGATGTGCGGCATCCTCTTTGCACTTGAACCATTGTCCTTAGCGCCTCAAATGCGACGCCGACCTGCCAAATAGCTGCTATCCCTTTCGCACTTTGACGTTCTGCGCTTCGGTTTTTGCTGCTTGGCAATAGTTTTATTTTTTTTTTTTAATTTTTTTTTGTTTGTTTTTTATGTCAATTGGTTTTTTTGTTAGTTTATTGGTCTTGAAAAAATGCAACGCGTGCGCAGTTTCTTTTATTGTTATTATTATTTATGTAATTGTTTATATGTGCTTGTGTAAATTTGTATTAGTTTATTTATGCGCGATTGGTTATTTTTTTTTTGTGGTTGTGTTTTGATTTCTTCGGAATGAGTAATTCGAGTGTGCGTGTGAGTGTATGTGTGTGCAGCTTTGGCTATAGTATATGGCATATATATGTATATGTATAATAGTTGCTCGTATGTATCCCATGCCTATTCTTTGCTATATATGTATGTGCGCTTATAATGCAGCAATTCAAGGTCATTTGCAAGCCAGGTATGCAAACAATTTTTGTCCGTGACTCAGCGACGGAATAAACGAAAATTTAGGAGCAACAAAATCGAAGCTAATATAATCATAATTTGTTAAACAAGAAAATGCGGAAAAGCAGCTGTCAATCTAACAATTTAATCTTATTTTTAATAAATTTATTTTTTTTAATTTTTTGTATTATTATCAGCGGCGTTGAGTGCATTCAACTGTCGTTGGAGCATGACGCGCATATTAAATTTAAGTGTGTACACACTTGTGCATTTAAAAAATTATATAAATAAAAAGAATTATTTATAAAATATAATATATAAATGAAAATGAATTTAAATTGAGCTATACTCTCTCGCATATAGCTATAAATATATTAGAAAAATTGTTCATGTTATTTTTGCATATGCTCTAAATTGATCTTTTGCATTTTCTATATTTTTAGAATAATTTCTCAAGTTTTGCCTCTTTATTCAATTTTTTTTATCTTTTTTTTCTGGCTTTTTGCACCCAAGCAACGAACAAAGCGCACCAACACAAGCGCACAGTGCACTGCACAGTGCCTGCGTGTGTGTGTGTGTGTGTGTGTGGCAGCTTATTGCATAGGTATGCGTGTGCATGTGCATGCGCAGTGCAAGCACGACGGCAACGTCAACGTTAACCGCGCTGCTGCTGTTGTTGCTTTTTCATTGCTGACGATTTATTGTTGTTGTTAGGGCAGCGCCGTGTTGTTGTTGCGCTTGCTGCTTTTTTTCTTTGCGTCTGTTTTACTTATTCGCTTGCCTAGCTGCACTTGAGTGTGTGAGTAAACGTGAGCGTGTGTGTGTGTGTGTGTGTCTCAGTGTTGTCTCTGTACTGGTGTGACTTCATTTCCTTTGTCGTAGGTCATCGTCAATGCGGAAAAATGCGTTTTATTGCTTTGAAATTCATCAGTTTTTCGGCGTTTAACAATTGGTTGATGCAATTTAAGTTATTTTCTGACTTTTTTGATAAATGTTTGTAAATTATTTATAGCAAATTTTATGCATCATTTAATTATTCATTTTGTTTAATTATATTTGTATTTATCACTTGAGTTTTTCGCGTTTGGTTTGGGTTTCGTTTTAAATAATTTTTCATTTTGAGTCACTTGAAAAGTGCATTTTCTCCGTTGCCGTTGCCGTACATTGCAAAGTCGCGCTCCACACTGACAAAAGGGTAGAGAACTTTTTCTCCAACGTTTGGCCAGAGTTGCCATTTTTCCCACTAAAAAAGCCGATGCCGATCAAAGTCAACGCGTCGCCGTCGCAGTCGGCCGCTTCGTGCAATTGCAAAAGCACAGACCCCAAAACGAGGAGGAGACGCCAACGCAGGCGGAGCAGCAGCAGCAGCGGCGGCGACCAGCAAAAATGGTAATAAAAGCAAATGAATCGCACCAAGTGCATCCACACAAACACATATGCACATAGGGAACAATCAGTCAATTACACACACACACATACGAGCGCGAGCGTTGAGTTGGCGCAGGGGAAGCTTCGAAGTGCCGGCCGCCTTTGCGTGGCAAATTTGTTTGTGTGTATTGCAATTTTCATCTGTCTGCTCACTCACGCCCCTACACTGACTGGCTCTCTCTTCCGCTGTGCGCTCTCGCTCATACTCATGCAATTGTCGTAATGCAGCCGCGCACTTGCTGACGCTGAGTATGAGTGTGTGAGCATGTATGTGTGTTTATGCGCGTGTGTGTGTAATAATCGAATGCAATAAATTTAATAATCTGCGGAAGGTGACGACGGCGACGTTGGGATGCTTACCAGTGTTGAAAAATGAGCCGCCCACACGGCGCGATCGTAAAAGTACAACGCACCTGCAATGCAAATTGACGAAGAAAAGAGAGCGCACAACAAACAAAGACAACCAACAACAACCGCAGCAGCAGCAGTAGCAACAACAACGGGCAATGGCCCAACGGCAATGTAACGGACGGCGCGATGACGACGCGAAAAACCGCAAAAAACCGTGAAACAAGAAATTATGCGCGAACCGCGAACACTTGAACACAGCCAAAACACACATACAAAGACACACACACACACAGTTGCAAATTGCAAATGCACACAAGCACAAGTACAGGAACAGAAATATGTGTGTGTAAGTATAAACTGTGCAAAGTCAATGCGACGTAAATGAAAGGAAAGAACAAGCAGAGAGCCAAAAGCGCAAGCGACCGCGATGTGCAACGAATCTTTTGCAAATGAATGCAACCAGCGACGGTGGCGACAAAAGAAAGCTGCACCATGGGCAACATAACTGAAAATCTGCTCAAAAGTTTTTACACAGCAAATTATGAGATGCGACGCGTTGCTAACTATATAATTGCATTTCAGAAGCATTTTTCTGTTATATGTTGTTAATTCTTAATCTAAAATAATAATTATATTGAAGCTCAGCTTAGGATTACAGCAGCAAATTTTGTTCAAAACATCAGCTGCCTGTTACACTGTGCGCTGCAGTGATGGAATGACGCGGCATGCCAAAAAAGCAAGCAAAACCCATTCACTTGCTCTTAGTTGACTGCTCTGCAAAAGCTAAGAGAGCGACGCATTCAGCTGCTCTTTAAAAATTATCTCTCTTTGAGTTTTGCGGTTGCATAAATACTGTCCCTTAAAAGCACAACTGAGCTACGCTTTAAAACCGCAAAGCCGACTATGAGTAAAAAAATTATATTAATTCAAAATTAAAAATAAAATTAAATTATCTTAAATTATCTCAATTGAAATTCGAATAGTTCCAATAACTGTAACGCAGTACAGTGTTCACTGCATCTGAAGGCTAACAAATCTACCATCAATATCGATTAGTGTAAATAATAATAATAATATATAATAACAATATAATAATAACTTTTGGAATGCTTAAACATAAGTTAAAAAATTTGAATACGCTTATTACAATTATCAATTTAAATAATTTAAGCAACAAAAAAATTAAGACTATTTTCAGAAACTGTAGTTTTGAGTACATAATTTTTTCTATGTTCGTTTTAAATATGCATATATAATAATTAGCAATGTTTAAGTTATCTACCTTTTTCCGTTACTTTTGTGCAGATTTCCGTTACTCTGTAAACTGAGAGAGCTTTTATGCCAGCTCACTTTTGCGTTCAACATGTTGCTCATGTTGCGTTTCGACATTTTTTACATATAACGCCGACGGTCACACTGCTACATCACTGGCGTGCGCGCTGCCCTGCAGTTGGTTTGTTCTCTGGCAAAATTCTGTAAAACTTGTTATTTTGTTGAAAATACATAAATAGTTCATAATGGCATCCATACTGCGCACGGGCAAACTGTTGCGTTACTTTGCGGGCTTCACGCGCAACGTTGTCGTCAACTCGGTGCGCGACTGCGAGAGCAACAATCTGCTGCAGTCGGCGCCCTGCATGTGCGGACAGTTCCAGAAGTAAGTTTCGAAGTTTCTGCCCGGCATTACGCAATGCAATCAAAAATCGTGTAAAACAATGTGGCAAACGATCAGCAATTGTTGCAACTTTATCAATTGCCCAGCTGTTCATTCAGTCAAGTTTAATTAGTAGCAAATTTCTGTGAGAAAATTGTGCTAACTTTTGGCCAGATTTACATAACCTCAAAGTGTGCATTATGCTGGGGACTATGGAAGGGATTATGATTAATAGTTCTCTCATGTTTTTCACAGCGGCTTTGCTAGCAATGCTGCTGCCACGAAGGCGGAGCACAGTCTGGACAAGCAGATACGTCGCTTGGATCAGGATGCGCGCCGCATGGGTCGCATCTCCCGGCGGGATTTGGAGGAGGTGCTCGACGAGATACGCACACACCGTACGGCCACCAGCTCGCAGTCGCTGCTTGTCATACGCTGTTGCGGCAATCTGGTGCCGGAGGAGCTGCCCGAGGTGCGCACTGCCCTGGTCCAGGAGATTTGGAAGACCCTGAATGCCCTGAATGTGCCCATGGATATATCGCATTATAATGCACTGTTGCGTGTATATCTGGAGAACGAGCATCAGTTTGCGCCCACCGATTTTCTCGCCGAGATCGAAGCCAAGGGCATCGAAGCGAATCGTGTGACCTATCAGCGCCTGATTGCGCGCTATTGCCAGCAGGGCGACATCGAAGGCGCCACACGCATCCTGGAGTACATGCGCGGCAAGAGCCTGCCGGTCAACGAGAACGTCTTCAACTCCCTGATACTGGGACACTCGCAGGTGAGGCGCCTCCCTCCTCATTTAATCCGAAACAATTCCTAACTCTTAACTTTTCTGCCAGGCCAACGATCTGGAGTCCGCGAAGGGCATTCTGGGCGTGATGAAGCAGGCGGGCTTGGAACCCAGCGCCGATACCTACACGACGCTTTTGTGCGCCTTTGCGCGCCATGGCGATATTGAGGCCTTGCAGTCGACGCTCGCCGAGTGCGAGCCCAAGGAGATCATCTTGCTGGACAAGGATCTGCTGGACATTATCTACACGCTGACGGTGCACGGACATGGCGAGCATGTGGACGCGCTGCTGGGCAAGCTGCGCATCTCGCCGGGTTTCAATCAGGATGCAGTCAATATCATACTGCGTCTGGTCAACAAGGGCTACGAGGATGTGGCGTTGAAGCTGCTCCGCTTGATGCCACGCGGCACGCGCGTCAATGGCGAGCCAGTCGACGTGGGCGCCTTCTACATACGCCAGCTGGTCAAGGCGAATCGGCCGGTGGAGAAGATCCTAAGCATTTGCCGCACGCTGCAGGCGGAGGGCCTCAATCCCAAGGCGCTGACCATTGCCACCGAGGCGGGTCTCACCAATGGCGTGATGAACAATGCCCTGCCCCTGCTGCAGGAGATGAAGCAACTGGGTCTGCCCATACGCCAGCATTATTTCTGGCCCTTGTTCTGCTCCGTGGAGTCCAACCAGGTGCTGGACGTTGTCCGGCGCATGCAGCAGGAGTTTGCCCTGAATCCCAATTCGGAAACAGTGCGCGACTATGTCATACCCAATCTCAAGGAGAAGAACTGGGAGCGCGTTGTCACTGTGCTGCGCGATGCGGGCGTGCCCAACTCCACGGCCGTCACCTCGGCCGTCTACGCGGCGCTGACCACACATCAGATAGCTGATGCTGCCCGGATTATGGAAGCGCATCGTGCCTACTATATGCCCATGATCTTCCGCCAGCCGCTCATCCTGGCGCTGAGCAACACCAACGATTTTGCCTCCTTCATACGTTGTGTGCGCCAAATGCACGAGGGCCTGCAGCTGCGCGCCGGCAAGGAGGCGGCAGAGGAGGGAGAGCGAGTCGCTAGCGATGCAGAGGCCGATGCCACGCCCGAACGCAATACAATCGATGTGGTGGGCACCATTGTCCAGGATGCGGCCATCTATTTCCGGCGCGAACGCGTGCCCATGCTGGAGAAAATCTTGCAGGGCCTGGTCAAGCAGGGTCTGTCCATAAGCAGCGCCAAGGCCACCGCCTTATCCGAACTGTTGGGCTCTGAGATGACGCCCAAGATCGCCGAGGAGCTGGGCAAGCTCACCTCCGGTGAACTGGAGCCCATTCCATTGCCCAACAGCGGCAAACGCGCATTGGACACGTTGACCGTTGATGGTGAGTAACTGTGATTGATGGATTGACAGATGGTTATTTGACTGATTGAATGATTTTGTAAGACTTTAGCCTACAGATATTCCGAAAGAGACTGAATGATTGACTGACTGGTTGATTAGTTATCTGACACAGGTTATTCGACTAGCTGATAGACTTTGACTAACTGATAGAGATTGATTGATTGAGATGATGGTGTTTAATGATTGAGTGAAACTTTAGCTGCCAAATATTCATAAATTGACCAACATGCAGCTCGAGAGACAGAGGGAGATTGATTGATTGACTGACTGATTGATTGGTTATCTGACACTGATTAATCGAGTAGCTGATAAACATTAATATATATATATATTGACTTATTAGTTGATTGAGAGAGATTTATAAATATTGTTTTGATTGACCTGTTCTGTCTGATTGATTGGCTCACTAGTTAAATTATAGATATTAAATAACAGATTGATTGAATGGAAATCTGGTATATTGACTGACTAATTGGCCTGGCTGATTAACTGACTGTCTGTTTAATATTTAAAAAAAAATTTATACTCAATGCTTGATTGACTAACTGTCTGTTTGATAAACTTACTAGTTGAGTGTGATTGACTGTTTGATATATTCATTTACTAATTTACATACTGGTAGACCAACTGATTGGCGGACAGTCTGATTGAAAAGCTCACTAGTTGACCGATTGACTGATTGATTGCAGGAAAATCTGATCTTAATTGACTGAGTAATGCCTAACTGATTAAGCGATTTACTGTTTATTGACTACCACATTACATCATTGATTGATTGGCTGACGGCAGATTGACTACTGATTTATTGTCTGATTGATTGTATATCTGGTTAATTGATTGACTGATGCCTGGCTGATTAACAGATTGACTGTTTACATATTTTATAAATATTTTTATTGACGGACGGTAGATTGACTAATGTTTCATTGACTGTCTGATTGATCGGATGATTGAACTTGGTTTACCAATTAGCATGCTGATTGACGAACTTACTTCTTTTGTTGATTGATAAGCTTTTTGAAAAACTAATCAATCGGAAGACTGAATAATTAAAAAACTTTCTGATTGATCGACTAACCCTCCAACTATTCAAATCTTTCAGAACTGGAACGTTTCATCAAGAATGTGGAGGCCAAGGGCGATAATGCCAACAACATTAAGCGTCAGCTGCTAAATGCCTGCTTCCGTTCGCAGAACCTGGAGAAGACGCTGCAGGTGATCGAGCGTCTCGAGCAGGAGAAATTCCAGATACCTGTCGGCATCTTTGCCCAGCTCGTCGATCTGTACACATTTCACAAGCGCAGCTCCGATGCACTGAACCAGTACAACAAGTTGCGTCAAGCGGATGCCAATTTCAAGCTGGACAACTTTAAGGCGGTGCGGCTCGCGGATCTGCTGCTGCAGGAGGAGCGTGAGCAGGAGGCGCTGCAGCTGCTCCAGGAGAATCAAAAGGATGCGCCCCACAACGAGGGCGAGGGCAGCTTCAACTACACGAGCACCGTGTGGCGCATACTCAATGCCATTGCCGAAACGGGCGATGCGGAGAAACTGAGGCGCATCTTCGATGCCCTCGTCGCGGGCAACTATGTGGTGCCCACCAATGTGGTGTTGGGTCCCTTGATTAAGGTGCATTTGGCCCGCGATGATATACCCAAGGCAATTGACGCCTTCGAGCAGATATGCCAGCAGCACAAGGCGACGCCGTGGAAGAACGAGCTCGCCTGCCGTCTCATTCAGAAGGAGGATGCGGCGAATCTGCAGCGTCTCACAGATCTGAGCACGAGCATACACGGCGAGGTGAACAGCCTGTACGATTTGGTGTTCTCCTTTGTGGAGTGTGGTCGAGTGCGACAGGCGCGCAAAATTCTGGAGACGCCCGGACTGCGCACTAGGCCGCAGCGCATCAGCAGCGCCTGCGATCGTTACAAGAACGAGGGCATGCTCCAGCCGCTGGAGGGTCTGATTGAGGCTACGAAGGATCTGGGCCACATTGATCGCAACAAGATTTACTACACGCTGCTGCTCAGCTATGACAAGGCCGATGAGACGGAAAAGGCGCTCGGTCTGTGGACCAAAATGCAAGAGGAGGCCGTCACGCCCACGGATGCGTTCCTGCTCAAGCTGGCCGAGTTGCTCAAGCGCAAGAATATGGAGGTGCCGTTCGTGGTGCCCGAAACGCAGCAGTCCAAGAGCAGACGCCTCAAGGCAGCCAAAACGGACCAGCCATCGGCCAGGCAGGAGCTGAAGGAGGAGTCCAACGTGCAGGAGCCCAAGGTGGAATCAGCAGCAGCACCGAAGCAGATCTCCAACGTAACCAGCTTCCGTCGTGCCATTCAGCACAATGATCCTGATGCCGCCATCGAGCACCGAAAGCGTTTCACAAGCTCGGACAAGCCCGGCGTGATGGACACCTCGCGGCTCATTGAGCTGCTCGTCCGCGCCGATCGCCTGACGGAGGCCAGCAAATATGTGGATGAGCTGCTTGCCAATAAGCAGCATCCCCAGCCAAAGATATTCAAATACTATTTGAACAAAATTGCCGCCTCGGGCGATGTGGAGGCGCTGCAGCGCATCGGCCAGCAGCTCAACGATGAACAGAAGCGTCTCGTGTCCTTCGATAATCGCTATTGCCACGCCAACATTGTGGCCGGCAAGGCCGAGCAGTTTCTCAAGCAGCTAAGCACGGAGGTTGAAGCGGCCAAGTCGCCCGAGGAGGCGGCCAAGTTGGCCGAAAAGTTTCCGCGCGGCGGCGCCGTGGGCCTCCTGGAGAGGCATCCCGAACTGATGGCGCAATGTGAGTACTTTTTGATACCCTGTGAAGAGGAAGACTGCATGTGCAGGGTATCTAAAGGCTGCAGAGTATTTGCTAGCTTTATTCTAACACAAATCCTTTTCAGACGAATCTTTGGCTGAGAAGTACGCGGCCCACAATCAGCTTGGCCCCATGAACGTCTTGTGGATGCACTTGATATCGACCGGTCAGGAGACGCCTTCCAAGCAAATCTGGGATAAGCATTTGTCCAGTGCGCCACGTCTGATGTTCCAGCGTGTGCTGCAAACGGCGCGCGAACAGCAGGACGAGAAGCTGGCTGCGACGGTCATTTCACAGCTGCGCGGCAGCAAAATATCCGAGGGTGCCATCGGCAATGCCTACTCCTGTCTGCTGGACATACAGACGAACAAGGGCAACACGGACAAGGCGCTGGAGGTGCTCTCGAATGCCATCAAGGATGTGTCGCTGGAGCACATCAATCGCACCGCGCTGCTGCGCCTCAAGCAGGCCGTTGAGGCCAAGTCACAAACGTTTCCCTACACAGTGCCCGAGAAGCGCACCAAGGCGAACGAGTCCAGCTCCTCGAGCAGCAGCAGCAGCAGCGATGATGACGATGTGGCGCCCAAACGACCCGAAACGATGCCAACCAAGCCGGAACGAGCTTAGAGGCATATAATAATAAAAGAGATGTTCAGTTTCTTAGTTTAATCCTAATCTTATGACTATATAGTATGTATTGATTGTTAAACAAAATATATATTTAATGGATATGTTTTTGTTGCTAAGCCCAAACTTGTTTTACAATTTGGAAAAAGCTTTTCCTGCCGAAATGTACCCAATATATGCTACTAAGTGCCAAAATTGCCAGAGACCAACATTAAATACACACAAAAACAATGGAATGGCAACACAGTCAATCGATGTACATCTGAATCCGGACTCTAAATGCGCTGACGGCTTGCGCTCGTGGCGATTGCAAGCACCGGCTCCTCCATGGTCGGCTCGTGGGTACGGCTGCGCCGGCGAACGGGCAGCTTGGGCGTCAACGTGGTGGCGGTGCGACTGCGTCGGATCTTCTGGGCCAGCTCCTTGGTCAGTGGCTGATTGTTGCGCTTCTCGATGGCATTATAGCCGTCGGGCATTTTGGTGAAATTGGCATCGTAGAACAGGCGAAACCAGATGGCGAACTCGTAGTTATCCTGAAATTTACCCTTGACCAGCTTATAAATGGGTATGCTCTTGTTGATCTTCAACTTGGTAAAGCATTGCTGCAGCATTATCAGATTGTTAATATAATCGATCTCCTGGTTGCTGATGAACTTCACTTTGCGCAAATTGACGCTATCGGGAAACAGTATATCCAGCAGGCAGCAATAGGCTGCTCCCGTGCAGAGATCCTCGATTTTCTGTATATCGCTGCTCAGGCACTTGTTGCACCAGGTCAGTATGGCCTGGCGGGACCAGGTCGGTTTGGTATTGTTTGTGGAGATCACGTTGATCACATTGCTCACCGCCATGTCTATAGGGCTGGGAGTAATTTGCGGATATTAGTCTGTTTGCCGGCTGGGCACTTACCTTACCACCAAAAATGCCACCAGGTCTCCGAGGAGACGGCTTGTTTTGAAAGAATTTGATCAGTGGGAGTTTATGCTAATTACAATTTAGTTCTATTACTAACCAAAAACGAAAAAATAGTAAAACAAAAAAAAACAAATATTAATTAAAATGTGTAGTACGCCTTCTCTCTGTAAATCTATATACGTCTATATTCGTTGTCTGGTGCTAATGTTCTACCCTGCACATAACAAAAATCGAAAATGAAGGGTCTGTTATTTCCCGTTTGTCTGTCTTTTCAAGGCCTACTTATGCAAATGACTGATAATTGATACCCGGGCTACTGTGCAGATAAATTCATTAATACAATTAAATTAAATTAACTGTTTTTAAACAGCGCGGTTAGCGCCAAATTATCTTTATGCTGCCTATCGACCAACCACCACAACTGCACAAACATATCGATTGTATTGTGAACAAATGCAACATTGCGCCCGTTAAGGGTTGCCATATTTCACTACGTTACAACCGCTGAACAAGCGGCCGCGTTTGCCAACGTTTAGCTGTAAAAATTTTCAACAGCGTTATTAATCAATTTACGCATTGGAATTGTGTATCCCAGTTCAAGGATGCCAGACAGTGATGCCGATAGCGACGCGAGCGACAGCTCCAGCATTGGCTCAACCAGCAGCGCCGATAGCAACGCGAGCGACAGCTCCAGCAGCAGCAGCGCCGGCAGCAGTAGCAGCAGCACCACAGACAGCAATGCTGGCAGCAGCAAGCGGGCAAGCGAGAACGAAGAAGCAGACGTGGAACAAGTGAAAAAGCCAACAACTGTCAAGAAACTGACAGTTAAGGATACAGTTAAGCAGACAAGTGATAAAGAAGAAGAACATCGAGAGAAACAACAAAAGCAGCTGCAGCCCGTTGACAACAATACAAACGCAACGAACATTGCTGACACGTCTGAGCTGAAAGAAGAAGAAGCAGCCGCAGCAGCAAAGCCTGAAAAACCTGTGGAGGAGACAGAAACAAAAACAGACCCAGCCGAAAGCAAGGCACAAACAGAGTTGCCAACTGAACAGACAGAACAGCAGCCAGCAGGCAAAGAGAAGAAGGACGAGGAGGTGGAGGAGAAGCGGCCGCAGCAGGAACAGTTGGACCCTGTCACCACAAACGGGAATGGGGCATGCGAGGAACCAGGGGCCACTGGCAACTCACCCAGTAATGTGGAGGAGGGCGAAATTACCGAAGTGAGTAGACAGCCAGATAAATTAGGGTTTTATTTTATTATTTATCTGAGTGGATATGGCAGTCCCTCAAAGCATGCACATTCTTCAGTGTTGCCAGCTCGTAGTTTTTAGCCATATCTGAAGAAAAAAAAGGCTAGAAAGCCTTGCTTTGAGGAGGAATTCTGGCTTTTTATAGCCTTACGGACAGACTAGGCTTAAATTATGGGCATGTTGGGTTCCCGCTAAATTTTATATTTGGTTTAATAAAATCTGATAAAATTTGAAATCGTCTAAAAAGTAGCTGGATTTAGTGTTAGAAATATCTGAATTTGATCTCTGAGCACAAATATGCAATAAGTAGTTTTTTTTTGTAAATTTGAATAGTCAAAAATAAAGAAAAAATAGCTGAATCTGTTTAAAATTTCAAATGGTTCCCTTCGGACGAATTCTGATACTAGCCAAATTTAGCTAGAAACTAGCCGAATTGGCAACAGTGCTGGAATATTACAGGGTTCTATTATTTGGGGTTACTCTCAAGCGACAGATATCGAAGAAAAATTGGAGTAAAATAAAACCAAATATTAATATCTTGCCTGACATTGCAGAAAGACGACGATGTGCCTCCTGTGGAAGCAACAGCAACAACAAACGCAGACAGCAACAACAAAGACAAGCAGCAGGAGCAGCTGAAGGCAACCACTGAGGAGGAGGCGGCGGAGGTAACGGTCAGGCAGCCGCCGCAAATTGCCAGCCAGGTGCGCAGGCGCAGTCACAGCCGTAGTCGCGAGAAGCTGGCCGAGGCCGAGAGGCGGCGGGGACGACCAGCAACGACACATAGTCGCAGCCGCAGCCGCAGTCCCTCGCGACGCCGACGTCGACGCACACGCAGTCCGCGCGTCAGTCGCAGCGTGAGTCCAGTGCGACGGCGTTCCAGTTCCTTGGAGCGACGGCGCGTCGAGCGCCAGAAGCGGCACGAGGAGCGCGACAAGCGCGATGAGGATCGTGCGCGCGAGCGTGAGAAACGGCACCAGCATCGCCGGCGCGAACCGAGTGCTGGCGGAGCAGCAGCAGGAACAGCCTCCGCAGCCAAGCCCAGTTCGCCGGCCGAGAATGCGGACAATGCCACGGTGAGCGAGCCGACGGCAAAGATCAGTGAACGCCAGCGACGCACCGTGGATGTGCTCACCTCACGCACCGGCGGCGCCTACATACCGCCGGCCAAGCTGCGCCTAATGCAGGCGGAGATCACGGACAAGGCGTCGGCGGCATATCAACGCATCGCCTGGGAGGCGCTCAAGAAGTCCATCCACGGCTACATCAACAAGGTGAACGTCACGAATATTGCGATCATCACCAGGGAACTGCTCCGGGAGAACATTGTGCGCGGGCGGGGTCTGCTCTGTCGCAGCATTATCCAGGCGCAGGCTGCCTCGCCCACATTCACGCACGTCTATGCGGCTCTGGTGGCCATCATCAACTCCAAGTTTCCGAATATTGGCGAGCTGCTGCTCAAGCGTTTGGTCATTCAGTTTCGACGCGCCTTTCGGCGCAACGACAAAATGGTTTGCATGTCCGCCACGCGCTTCATCGGGCATTTGGTCAATCAGCGTGTCGCACACGAGATTTTGGCTCTGGAGATGCTCACGCTGCTGGTGGAGATGCCCACCGATGATTCCGTGGAGGTGGCCATATCGTTTCTCAAGGAATGCGGCATGAAACTGACCGAGGTCTCGTCCAAGGGCATCGGCGCCATCTTCGAGATGTTGCGCAACATTCTGCACGAGGGCAAGCTGGACAGGCGGGTGCAGTACATGATCGAGGTGCTGTTCCAGGTGCGCAAAGATGGCTTCAAGGATCATCCGGCCATTGTCGATGATCTTGAGCTGGTCGAGGAAGACGATCAATTTACGCATCTCATGATGCTGGACGAGGCCACCGAAACTGAAGATATACTGAGTAAGTTTTCTTTTTAAGTCTTATACCAATTTAAGTCGATATTTTTCGAAGATATTTGTTAAAATTGATTTCGTCAAATTCACCTCTACTCGTGGAAAATGCTTGAAAAGCTGAAGATTAAAAGAATGCGGTTGATTAAGGACCGCAATTGGATTGAAAAACATTTAGAAATGTGAATAGATTATAATAGAATATAATATCAAGCCTAATATTCATTCCGTGACTAAATTTAATCACACGATTTCGTCAAATTCACTTCTACTCGTGGAAAATGCTTTAAATATTGAGAACTAACAGAATGCGGTTGATGAAGGCGTGTAATTGAATTGCACAACATTCAGAAATTTGAATAGAATATAATATCAAGCCCAAGATTCATTCCATAACTAAATTTAATCACACGATTTCGTCAAATCCCCTCTACTCGTGGAAAATGCGTGAAAAGCTGAAAACTAACAGAATTCGGTTGATGAAGGCGTGTAATTGAATTGAACAAATTTCAGAATTGTGAATAGACAAAAAAATATAATATCATATATACGATTCATTCCATGATTAAATTTAATCACTTGTATTAAATTCATTTTCTGCCTCCTCGCAGATGTCTTCAAATTTGACGATAACTATGCGGAGAATGAGGAAAAGTACAAGGCGCTGAGCGGCGAGATATTGGGCAGCGATGCCAGCGGGTCGGGCAGTGGCAGATCGTCCGGATCTGGCTCAGATTCGGACAGCGATTCGGATGGCGAATCCGGTTCGGGCGGCGAGGCGGATGGCGAAAAGGCCAACGCGGGCGATATTATTGACAACACGGAGACGAATCTGATTGCGTTGCGACGCACCATCTATCTGACGATCAACTCGAGTCTGGACTACGAGGAGTGCGCGCATAAGCTGATGAAGATGCAGCTGAAGCCCGGCCAGGAGGTGGAGCTGTGCCACATGTTTCTCGACTGCTGCGCCGAGCAGCGCACCTATGAGAAGTTCTACGGGCTGTTGGCGCAGCGTTTCTGCAGCATCAACAAGATCTATATACCGCCGTTTGAGGAGATCTTCAAGGACACGTACCAGACGACGCATCGGCTGGACACGAATCGTTTGCGGAATGTGAGCAAGTTCTTTGCCCATCTGCTGTTCACGGACGCGATCAGCTGGGATGTGCTGGAGTGCATACAGCTGAACGAGGATGACACGACCTCGTCGAGTCGCATATTCATTAAGATATTATTCCAGGAGCTGGCCGAATATATGGGCCTCGGTAAGCTGAATACCAAGCTCAAGGAGGATGTGCTGCTGGACAGTTTGGCCGGGCTCTTTCCCAAGGATAATCCGCGCAATACACGTTTCTCCATCAATTTCTTCACCTCCATCGGTTTGGGCGGCCTGACGGATGATTTGCGTAGGTTTCTGAAGAATGCGCCCAAGGCTGTGCCGGCCATCAATGCCGAGATTCTGGCCAGCGGCAATCCGTTCAAGGATGCAGCAGCCGCGGGCGGCGGCGTTGGCGATGCTGCGCCCGCTGCCAGCTCCACGTCCTCCAGCAGCAGCAGCGGCAACAGCTCCTCGAGCAGCAGCAGCGACTCCTCGAGCAGCGAGGGCGAGGACAACAGCAGCGATGAGGACAGCGACAGCGAGTCCAGCTCCAGCTCCGAGTCCAGTCCCGAGCCTGCCCGTAAGCGCAAGAAGAAGCACAGCCAGAAGAAGAAAAAGTCCAAGAAGCAGCACAGCAAGTCCAAAAAGTCCAAGGATAAAAAGGAGAAAAAGAAAAAGTCCGAAAAGTCGAAAAAGAAGAAGGAAAAGAAAAAGGCAGCCGAAAAGAAATCGAAACGCAAGCGCAAACATGCGCAGAGCAGCAGCTCGAGTAGCTCCAGCAGCGGCAACGATAGCGACACCAGCTCCTCCGACGCCTCCTCAAGCTCCGCGGAGCCGCCGCAGCCAAAAATCCAGCGCAAGGACAACAACTACAGCGGGAGCAGCAGCAAATCAAGGCCGG